AGGAGGATTGTGAGTGGTAGGGGCCTTTAGGGGGGGAAGGGAATGCGAGCTACAGACTACAGGGGGGCGTGTGCGTTGAGTGGATAATCTAAGAGTGGACGATGAGTGGGCGCGGGCTCGACTTGGCCAGTGGCATCGGCAGCGGCAACAACAAGCACGACGATGGATGACCTGAACTGAACTGCTACAGTTACAGTTGCAATTGTTACTGGAAGCTATAGTACAGAACAATAGAAGGAATGGGACTGTAACACTGCCCTGACTGTGGTTCTCCCAGATATTGGGGCCATCCATAGCATCGCCGAGATACAGCTGGCAGTATTATAGTACCCGACCCGATAGTACCTAGGAGACGGGCACCAGCAGCTTTGTCTCGCTCCGAAGATGAATTCTAGTATCGTTCCATCATTCTTCGCACGGCTAGAAATGCGACTAGCTACCTGTACCTAGTCTACCTTATCTTCTGCGATCCAGCCACCAAATACAAAGTACCATCTGCTGTACATAACCTGGCATGGCATCTCTCATCTACAAAAAATACCCCTCCATCCATTTACAGTGGATGCTGTTGCTGCACGAACCTGCAGCTAGGGGAACCCTGCGGTCGCCGCCGTCGCCCCGACCCTTTTTGTCCACCTCAACCTTGCCCGGTTTCCTTTCCATCCATCCATCTTGTTCGTACCTTTTTCCGAGCCAGCTGCAACCATCAAATCAACCACCAATAATTTCATGTACCGTATGGTACTGCAACCCATCATCGGGATCATCCATCATGTCAGACAGATCTTGCGACAATTTCAGAGACAAAACACCACAAGACTGTTCATTGCTTTGCTATGCTCCGCTCGGGGCTTGTTGATTCAAATCCGACTACACAATGCAAATGACCGATTGGTTCTTTCCAGCGCGATGACAAGCATCTACAGGCATCAGTAGCAATTCGAGATAACCCGGCCCCTGACCTCGTCTACTCTGGCTCTGGCTGGCATCGCCAACTGAGCCCACCCAGGCTTCCATTAGAAGCTCGTCCCGTCCACTGAGCGACCGATCCAGGTCGTCCTGGCAGCGAACAGGGCTAGAGCCTCGCCCCAGAGCGGAGAGTCTTAACCCGAGCTGGGTAGGTGAAGGACTCGAAGGCGCACCACCCCCAAGCCAGATTGCTACTCAGATTGCGTCCATTGCATGCGTCCGCCTGCTTAAACTGCACCCACCAGAGCCACTGAGGTGATCTCCCGCCAAATTTGACCAAGCTCCAATACCCCAAGGACCGAGAACAACAAAAATTACCCAAGCTTCAATCAGTACGTACCTCGAGTTCCATAACTGCCCGGTTAATTCTGTCACCAAGAGACTCTTGCGGTGTCAAAGCATCAGCACAAGTCACAGCAACGACATTGCTTTACCTTGAATTTTGGGTTCATTGATGGCTCATTTCAGGGGAAGGATATGGTGTCTGCTTTCATGGATTATTAGCAAATCACACTTCACATAATCATAACTAGCTGCTGGTAGTTCCAGCCAAGACAAGTCCAGAGACGGCGCTACTCGTTGCCATCCAAGAGATGATCTTTCGCTTCGATACACATAAGGAGAAGCTAGTCCCAGAGGACTCTCTTCATCCAGGGCCATTGCCAAACCCGTCATGAGCTGTTTTTTGACCCACGACTTTTGCACCTTGTCGGCTCCACTTGTATAATTAAATGCTCGCCGGGCTTTTCGGCTATGCAGCAAAGTCTCCCCAGAAAGGAGTTTAGAGAGTCACGGCCTTGCATATATAGCCTATGGCCAGGATTTGCCCAGTCTAGCCAGTGCTAGGTGACACCAATCTGCACTGGACAAGAAGGTGCTTGAATGGGTCTTACTTATATCGTACGCGGCTACAACAAGAACGGTTCTCGATCGCACCAAGCAACTGGAATGGGGGGAAAAAACAAATATTCATCAGCCTTGGCCCAAGTGGCCACTGCTTTTCCAAGAGATCCCCAGGTCTTCGAATTGACTTCATTTACAAGGTTCTCCGGTATGCTCGACCCAGCATTTTGGGTTACCCGTGACGGTTTCGTTGTGAGACAACAGGAGCAGAGACATCCAAGCATTTCAATGTCTCAAAATTACGTCCCTCCACGCAACTTTGGATACTGCAAGCGTGCTACGGTTCTACTTTCTAATCAAGACTAGTTGTTCTGTTCCTAATTCTTAGGCTATAGAATTCGAGATGTTTTCGTTCGAGAAGACTGTTGATCAAGAGACATGGGGCACAATTGGCTGGATACGGAGAGCACTGTGGATTCAGACTTTAGAGCCCCGATGAACCCTGGTTTACAGCAGGGCTCCTTCAACCACTGATGCAATATCCAACCCAAGCTTGCTAGGTTCTGTTTGTAGCAGAAATTGCTGGTGTCTCTCGTTTTGTCGCCTGAATCACGTCCCGTCTGTCGATCATTCTTCAACACAAAATGCCCAGGTAGCGACTATTCTTTAATGTTAAGGACTTTTGGCCCAGACCCAGGCCTAACAAAAGCAGATCATCGATACAACAATTCCTCGATTGTGCCACCAAAGCCACCCGTTCCTATATCCGTCTACAGCTCGTATGACTGTCGCTGTATGGCTCAACCTAAACAAAGGTAACCATCCGGCGTTTATCAGACGTTCACGGTCATCCAATGTGTAGCGTATGCTGATACGGACATTGGCAATGTGGATATGGAGGTCGGTACCTGCAGTAAGGTGCAACATCAAAAGTGCCCCCAAGTGCGTTATGCATATTTTGTACATACTGTCACCCCTCAAATGTGGGTGGTGGTAGCTGAGTACGAGTATCCGTAACAATCACCGCACATATAACCAGTCTGACTTCATAACTGACCGTTTATGTCACCAGTTGATCTTCTCATATAGAGTCTACTTGACTCCATACAACTTCTTACTTGTCTAGCTCTTCTCGTACTTCGAAATGATATACGTATAGCTTCCGACTACGTTAGCTCAAAACTCTTGCATCTTTTTAGTATAAAACCACAGGCTCCAACGCAATTTAAATATCCCCAAGGTATCCACTCTTTTGACAGGCCCCTGCATCTTAAAGTGAGGTTAACCCCCAGTCCCTGGTCCAGTCCTAGTCCAGTCAAGAGAGTACAGTACGTACCGATAGAGGACGGCGCCCCTGATCAGTTTTGCTCAGGGGAGTCATTGACAGTTACTCTGCTCTTAAACTTTCCATGGACTCTGCAGGCAATTCGTGTTGACGTTCTTTTATGGCATAATGCGGTAACCGGCTAATAGCCCCATGCTAGTTCTGTTTACCGACAGAGTCGTCGGACTATATCTGGCCGTTGATAATCTCGGAGTTCGAGCCTGTCCAGGGTTTCCCGGTAATATGAGGTGCTGCAAGCTATCGCGCCGAGATACACCAACGCAGACGATGTCGATAGCTGGAATCGTTATACTGGCTCCCGTTCATCCTTCCCGTGCTTTCCCTCGCCTGATGTTCAGCCACCATCGTAGTTCTCATCCTATTCCAAGCTGACTTGTCGTTATTACTCTGCATATACATACGCGTCCATGAGTCGGGTACAGTACGGTACAGTACAGTAGTATCTGGAACCAGCCGGCTTGGCACCCCTTACTACAGCTACACACTTATCTGTAGAATATCTGGTTCCCAAGGTAAACCCCAATGACTAGTTAGTTCCAGAGCTTCTGCGGTAGGTCCTCTTCCTAGTGCACGACTCATGACAAGCTTGTGTTTACTTTCTTGACCTTGCTCAGCCACATATTGCGATCGTTGCCAAATAACGGCTTTCTTCTATACAATGGGGCGCTCGAAGGTTGCTAACAACACTGATTTTGTGAACTATAACAGATTCACTTGAAACGAAAATGTCCTCAAATAAAGCTTATGACTGTTCTTCCTTGTTCTCAGCTCTCTTATGCTGAGTTGGCAATGCTGTAGGCGTGACTCAGGAACCATGAACCCTGCAACCTAGCTGAAGGTGTGCTTTGACATAGAAATGCTGCAGAACCAACAATGACGATGTCGAATCGAATTGGACTGGGGAGTATTGAGTCAAGGAGTAGCAATAGACACAGCTTACCAGGTAGGCCATGTAGCTGCTCCAGAGGAAATGTCGGGCCAACCCGACTGCGTTGGCTACCCTATAGCAAAGCTGCTTTTCGTCAATGAACAGTATAAACGTTGATGCCATGCTGAAAGGTCACTCATTCAATCTGTCATACAGATCTATATTCTTCATCACTCTGGGCTACCTATATACCAGAAATATCAGGACCTCTGTGTCGTGGTTGGCAAATCTGTCACGAACCCATGATTGACACATTTGTAATTACATGCTAACATTGCCAGTATGAAAGGGGTTTGTTCGGAAGAACATATGAACTCGAGATCCATTTACACGATACCCATTAGGCTTACAACATAAAGATCATGGAAATTAACTACTTGATGGCAATTAGTTTGCAAACCCTGATGGCTGTCACTTGTATGCTTGGATCAACATTCAGTCAAGTTCTCAACTTGAGATACGAAAGCAGCAGACTAACACAGCCCACAATCAAGTAATACATGGGGATGTTAAAATTGTACTATTTCAGTAAAGAATCTACGAGTTTAGTGACTCCAGCCATTCTGATCCATCTTCGAGACATATATCAAACTTCCGCGTTTACACTGGATGTATCGACACGCTACTCGGGGCAAACGCCACACGCACTTCAATCTGCAATTCCTTCAGAATGAGTGGTTTAATGGATGATACAAAATAACTTAGATAAGAAGCCACTCAATTGCTGGGCACGGCAGCTGTGTATGGCCGACTTGGATATAGTGATGCGTAGATAATGCGTGAACTGTTCGCTCTTTGTCATTCATAACCATAAACACCCTCCTATGTACAGAGTAGCCCCTTCTAAAGCCTAGCCAGTATTTTGTTTATTTCCAAAGAAATACATTGATCCTGCCCGAATTATACCAGACTTCTTTAGTGAGTCTCTGCCCAACTCTTGAACCAATCCAGTGCTTCAGGGTTAGCAACACTGGCATTGGTCTTGACATCCATGCCAGAAAGGATCTGTTTTACAGCAACTTCGATCCTACGCGATTATTAGTATTCCGAGATCATGTACACTGATTCCTCAACGAGACTTACTTCTTTCCGTTACTTGTCTTGGGCACACCTGCTCCGCACTCCTCGACCACACCGGGAACATGTCGAGGACTCAACTCGGCCTTGATCTTTGACTTGATTCGTAGACGGAGATCATCGTTGAATTCCTTTCCGGGCACCATCACGACGAATAGACATACAGTCTCATCTGAATCTGTCTCTCGTCGACGCCCGACACAAACAGCATCTTCAACCTCCGACGCAAAGAAACGCGTGAGGATGTTGTAGATCTCGGCTGATCCGAAACGCACACCAGATGGTTTTAATACACCATCTGATCGACCAAGCATAACAAGACTGCCAGTTGAGGGGTCGGGAATCTTGACGAAGTCACCGTGATGCCACACGGCACCCTTGACGCCGCAGATGTTTTCGAAACGCTCAAAATAAGCTGACTGGTACTTCGCCTCTCCATTAGGACCGAAGAATGTGAGTGGTTGACACAAGAATGGCTTGACACAAACAAGGTCACCAGGCTCATCGGCCTTGATTGGTTCTCCTGTGATTGAGTCAACAGCACGGATGGCCATACCGAGACCAGCACATTGGATCTCACCAACGCGCACAGGCAAGAGAGGACAAGGGGCACCAAACAGCGAGATGATATCTGTACCGCCGGTGATAGAGCCAAGGTTGATGTGTTTAGGGAAAGCTTCGTAAACGAACTTGAATGTTGATGGAGGTAGAGGGGAGGCTGTTGAGTAGATAGCTTGCAACTTGGAGAGATCGATTGAACTATCACGGACAGGGTAGACTCTATTGGCTTCCAAAGCAGTCAAGTAAGCGGCCGAAGTACCAAAGTGAGTGACCTCAAGGTCAGCAAGGAGACGTGGAAGCGAGAGGTGGCCATTAGGTCGGAAAGGAGAACCGGAGTACACTACAACAGTGCTTCCCACAGCGAGAGCCGTTATGCTCCAGTGCCACATCATCCATGAAGTAGTCGTGTAGTAGAGCATTCGAGATGTCGAGTCAAGTGAACAGTGAAGAAGATGCTCCTTCTTGTGCTGAAGCAGCGTGCCCAGTGCGGTATGGACAATGGCCTTGGGAAGACCAGTAGTTCCACTGGAGTAAAGGACGTAGAGGGGATGAGCTGGAGGAAGTTGCTCAAACTCCAAAGACCCATCTGGAGCAGATTCGAGCATTTTGGTGTAATCGACAGCTATCACACCATGTTTCTCAAGCTCTTCAAGACCGAGACCTCCAGAACTGATGTTGTTGATCACAACGACCCTTTCAAGCCCCTTATTCTTGAGCTCGGCCACAATCTCTGTTGTTTTTGACACACTTGACCACTCCTTTCCATTGTAGACAGTGCCGTTATCGGCAAACAGCACCTTGGGTGCAATCTGGTTCAGACGGTCCAGCACAGCTGAGACACCATTATCAGGGCTGATACCGGTCCAGATAGCACCAATTGCAGCAGCACCAAGCATGACAACAAGTGCCTCAACATGATTTGACACAAAACCTGCTACAACATCATTGGGCTTGAGGCCGGCTGCGCGCAAGGCATTAGAGCATCGGCGAACGGCCTCACGTAGCTCGGCCCACGAAGTAGTCACTGTGGAGTTGGGCAACTCGGTGACGGTTATTACAGCCGGAGCCGAAGGCTCGGGATGTGGAGAAGTTGCGGGAAAGAGTAGATTCTCGGCAAAGTTGAGGAGCGAACCAGAGAAGAAGTCAGGCCGAGGATACATAGAAGCATTTTGAGGAAGGACCTGTGTGTGAGTTTAGTAGAGTTTCTCAACAATTTGGCCCCATTGACTGCAATTGTAGACACGGCGAGTATCTCACCTGAGAAATCTCGCTTACACCAGGATTTCCATACCTCATCAAAATGCTTTGACGCTGTGACACCAGTGAATTGCCAAACTTCCTCCCAAAATGAAGCAACATCGTCGATAGACCACTTGTAAAGCGCAGGGTAACCGTCAAGATTTAGACCATGCTTCTTGTTGACATGCTCGAGAAACTTCCACATATGAGTGGACTTGGGATCTGGATGCCTCCAAAGGACATTGTCCTCAGAGAGAGGTGCTGCCGCAGAAGGCTCAAGTTTATCGATCGACATGACGGGCATTGAGATGTAAAAGAAGGGAGATTAAGAGACCCAACGAACCCCTCGGTAAAGATTATGTTGAGGGGCAATTTTAGCGACGAGTTGGAGAAGATATGATAACGCGAGAGAACAGGAAAAGATTATGGCACTGGAACAAAACAATTGAAGAGGACTCTGCTATTTGAGAAGTTTTAATGTCTTCTAAGTGTAGCGGACTTTGTATTCCGTCCTCTAAGAGCTCGGAACGGAATGATTCTCTCACTGCCGTGTCTATCGCGAACCGCTGAAAGCCGTCCCCTCCCGATCTCGGTTCCCCGCCATCGAAACGGTCCCCAACGTGGCTGTGGTGGGGGAGGCTGGTGATGTGTGGCTTCACTGAACCGAGGGGGATCTACCAAAACAAGATGCTATCAAATTATGGTCGATTGCTGTTGATACGCCGAGTTGCATTATAATAAGTCTGATCATAATGATCTAGATCTAGGTAACATGCTGTAGTTAAATGTCATTACTGAGACAGGCAATGACCTAATCTCTTGTCAGGAGAAGCATGTACAGATATACTATACTATAGTAGACTGCTGATAGGGCTTTAATTAATTGTTATCTCTAGGTATTTTTATATACAGAGAGTACTAAGTACGTATAATAGCGTGATCGCCTAAGCTTAACTGAAAAGCTAAAGGAAAATCACGTTATTTAGCATTTTTAGCAAGATTAAATACCCGTTAGCTACTCGCCTCGGACTGTCTATGCTTTATGTAGGTATGTACTACCGTAGGCTCGGCATGGCAGATTCTCCTAAACTTCCGACTATCACTCGGGTGCCGAGGTTCTTTCTCAGGTATGTCATAGTCTACTGTAGTAAACAGTAACACATCAAGTCGTGAATGGTATCTGCGCAGGAACTGAGACAAGATGGCACCACAGTAACTTGGCGCTGGAACTCTGAGAGGCCGATCAATACTTGAGAAAGCGTAATCCTATGCTGCTCTTTCAACTCTAGTATCATAAAAGATGCTCTTGGAGTTTGATCTGGAGATCACCTAGGAAAGCGAAGACTAATGTCACTCTCATGTGATTGACCATCGCGGACCGCGTGCATTAGTTAGTTGGGCTGAAGAGGAGCTGGCGGTGAAGGTTATTTGACAGCGGACGATCTTGTTCTTCTTTGATACAGTACAGAGCTGTATTTGGGTAGCGCCTTGGTCTGTCTGGTCATAGATGTCGGTGTACAAGCGCCAGGACTTTATGCAGTTGGCCTTTTGCGCATTGGGACTCGCACCATTCTTGTGCATGTACGGAACAGAATGCCCAACATTTGAGTGCAATAATTGAACTATTTCGATGGGATAAAACGAAACAAATTTACATAGTAAGAATTCTATGTCATAAAAATGATATCTGTGATGGAGTTGTGGGTTGCATATGAAGTCTATACCCGGGTTCTTATTGGACCCCGATGAACTTGTCAATTACCGATACAGCTTCACTAGCAGCATTGCTGCAGGCGTGCGCTATTAGCTTGTTCCGTGTAAACGAACCAGGCAGTTAGCCTCAATTGCCCAACCAGGTGCCATGAAAATACTGTCCAAGAATGAAACGATCAATGGCAAGGATGACTATTTTGAGACTTTGCGTTTTAGTCCATGCGAAAACAATTAAAAAATCAGTAAATAAATTGAATGTCATCATCGTTGTCGGCTTCGACGGAAAGTTTGAAGCTTAGGGACGGCAATGCCCCTGGATGATGACATCTCACTTCCTTTTGATTTCATCATGACCAACGCTATGGAAGAGCACAAGATCTGATGGTGTGAAGAGCCTCGGCCCCTGGACAGCTGCCATTCGCTACAGAGGGTAGACGCGAGAGATGTTGGTGCGAAGCGAGCCTAGAATGAAAATGTGGCGCTTCCTTTTAGAGGCTCCCGAGTGTTCCCATTCGCAGACCGGAGAGCTCGGAGTTGTAGGGGTTCGTTATTTTGCAAACATCCATCCTTTACTACTACCTTGTCATTGAGTAAGGAGGGAGCCAAAGATATGCTCTGATGATTACGAACACCATTTCTGTGATTCCGAGGCTTCGTCCGTAAAATGAAATAGGCACGGGACGGGGCATAAACTGTCGACGATACGCGCCTCGCCTCGGGGCTCTCGAGCCTCCCTAGACCATGGAAGAAAAAAGGCAGTGCTGAAAGTCCAATACAGCGAAACCCTTGTCACCTCAACCAGTTGTCGTGTGCAGCTACAAGGGAGCGAGAGGCGAGACGAAAAAACTCACTGCAGGACCCCGCTGGTTGACCCCTTGAATTCATTCATCCAGTTCTTATCTCATGCTTGTGTCCGGTCCTCCCCGGCTGTTGCGGTTGCTGTTCTATGCTGTTGTACTTGTTTCTCGTACATCGTACATCGCATTTGGGTGGTACAGTCAGCCGTGCAGGTACACGTAAAATGCAACTTTAAACCCGTTTTTACGTTCATTGATGGGAAGTCTGTTCAACAGTAACTTTGTACTGTATTCCACTCACCACAGTGCATCTGAACGCCAATGCCAGGTACCTAATACTAACGTTAGTACCATCCATCCTATCCCCGCTGTTTCCCGTGGAGCGGAAAACCTGGACTTTGATTGTTTTTTAATGCACCGAGATCCTCCCACTTTGTGCCGCAGACTCCGCTGTTGTGTCAAATAATTAATCAACTACCCAGACTCACTGCCATCTGGTCTTGGTCGTCTTTCTTCACTTCCATCACCACTTTGTTGCTGCTTGTTGGGGTTATAGTCGTCGTCTCTACGCTTCATTGTCCTCCTGCAGACAGGCCTCGGCCGAGTGAGCGGACTAACAGCCAACTCCCAGCCATTCCGGTTTTCACATCTATCAATTACCAGCACTTCGATTACTCGATCTTCAATCTTTGATTGTTGATCTCGATCAATATCATCTTGCATTGCTTTAATACTTGGTTATCGAACTAAGTAAATAACAACCACGGACACTCCTTCAATCCTACCTACGTACTTGACTCGTTCCGCAAAGACACACCCTTGCGTTGCGGCCTGATCGATTGGATTGAATTAGAGCTTGGATCGATCTACGGACTTTTCAACGATCAACAACTTGTCTCGGGCCTTGGAATCCGAAGCAAGCAAACAGCATAACACAGAGCGTTTCTGTTGAACAGTAACTCCCCTGGGTAAGTCAGTGATTCTCTCAGTCTCCCCCCTCTTTAAAAAGCACCCGAGATCGTCTCTATGTCTCGCTTGGAACCCAATTCCGTTATTCCCCTGGTATTCTGGAGCCGATCATCTGGTGTTTTAAGCTGTTCCTGGCTGGACCACGGATGGATCCGCTAAGAGGCCCACAAGCAATTTGCAGTCGGCGGATCTTTACTTTCCCAGTTTGATTCGACGCCACCTCCTGCGTCCCCCTGTGCCTCCTGGACCACGCACCACCTTAACCTGACCTAACTCACCTACACCTTCGAGTTTAAACCTCTTTATCAAAAAGAATCTCCTTCATCAACATTTGCTGTACCGTGCATAGTTCCAGCTCAACTCAACTTTCTTTATTGTCATTGTTTGTGTTGCTGCTCGTTCTGCCACGCGTTGCATAGTTGGCTTTATTCTTTGCACTGCCCAACATTTTCACAACCCCATTGGAAGCTTTTGACTTTTCATAATCTCCCATCCCGAGAATATGCATTGCGGCCAATTCTGTTGATCGAATTGTTCAAAACTCAATCTCCTGCTGACACCCGCCTCTTGTTGCCAGACTTTCAAGTTCTTGTGCTTCAGCAACCCACCCGATCCCGAACTCTCCTTCGGCATCTTCGCGACCTAGCCTCCCTTTCGCTCGCGCACCACCAAACGACACACCTTTGCCAGGAGAGATGCCCCGTCGGCTGAATCCATTTTCATCTTCGTCCTCCATGTCTCAACCCGTCAAGTCGGGCGAGAGGCGCCCCTCTACCTCAAAAGGCAACCGTATCACCAACTTCTTCTCCAGTAGCCCCAAGTCTACTGGTGCTCAACAAGCTCTCGCCGCCGTTCAGCAGAACCAGGCCAACGCTACTGGATTCTCTCCTTCTCCCGGTCTGCCAACCATCTCACTCTCCACTGCGAGCCCTGGTGATCCCAACAGCATCGACACGTCGACAACTACCATCTTCCAACCCCAGACCGCCGAGGAGATCGACCGCCAAAAACGAGCAGACGCCCAGTTCGGCCCCCTCTCTCACTCAAGTCACCGCTACGTAAGCCAGTCTCATGGAGAGGCCCTTGAGCCTCCTGTCGAAGATGAGCCTCCTTACTACTTCATTCTCACCACGTACATCAGCTACCTCATTCTGATTGTCATTGGTCACATTCGAGATTTCTTTGGCAAGCGTTTCGGAAATCCCAAGCACTACCGTGCTCTCAAGGCCAGCAATGGCTACGCAGCCCTCAACAGTGATTTCGACAACTTCTACGTCCGACGTCTCAAGATGCGTTTAGATGACTGCTTCGCTCGCCCTACTACCGGTGTCCCTGGACGATTTATCACTCTGATGGACCGCAAGTCTGATGACTTCAACCGTACCTATGAATACACTGGCACCTACACTGAGACCCTCAACATGAGTTCCTACAACTACCTTGGCTTTGCTCAGTCTGATGGTCCCTGTGCCGACGCTGTTGAGGAGTGTGTCAAGCGATATGGCATTAGCTTCTGCAGCCCTCGCGGCGCTGCTGGTACCTCCGATCTTGCTCTCGAGGTTGAGCGTGAAGTTGCCGAGTTCGTCGGAAAGCCTGCTTCAATGGTCTTCTCTATGGGTTATGTTACAAACTCTAGCTCTTTCCCCGCCATCGTCTCCAAGGGTTGCCTGATCATCTCTGATGAGCTCAACCACGCTTCTATCCGTGTTGGTGCTCGTCTTTCCGGTGCTGTTATCCAGTCTTTCAAGCATAACGATATGGCCGATCTCGAGCGTGTTGTTCGTGAGGCTATCTCTCAAGGTCAACCCCGCACCCACCGCCCCTGGAAGAAGATTCTTGTCGTTGTTGAAGGTCTCTACTCTATGGAGGGAACCATGTGTGATCTTCCTGGAATTCTCGAGCTGAAGCACAAGTACAAGTTTTATCTCTTTATCGATGAGGCCCACTCTGTTGGTGCTCTCGGTCCCCGCGGTCGTGGTGTCTGTGACTACTTTGGCATCGATCCTGCAGAGGTTGATATTCTCATGGGAACTCTGACAAAATCCTTTGGCGCCAACGGTGGTTATGTCGCAGCTGACAAGCACATCATTGACAAGCTCAAGAGCACCAACGCTGCTACCCAGTACGGCGAGACACCCGCTCCTTGTGTCCTCATGCAAATTCTGGCTTCTCTGAAACTCATCACTGGCGAGCTGTGCCCTGGTCAAGGTGAGGAGCGTCTGCAGCGTATTGCTTTCAACTCCCGATATCTGCGCCTCGGACTTAAACGTCTTGGTCTCATCGTCTACGGCCACGATGACTCTCCCATCATTCCTGTCATGCTCTACCACCCCGCCAAGCTTCCCGCCTTCAGTCATGAGATGCTTCGACGAAAGATTTCCGTTGTCGTTGTCGGTTACCCTGCTACCCCCCTCATCAGCTCTCGAGCCCGTTTCTGTGTTTCTGCTGCCCACAACAAGGAGGACCTGGATCGTCTGTTGGCGGCATGTGACGAGGTTGGCGACATTCTTCAGATCAAGTTTTCTACCGGTGTAGCTGGTGGACTGGACCCTCTGCCGGAAGGTGTTTCACCCGAGAACGAGGCCGAATGGAGGAAGGACAACCGAATTCCCCTCAAGGCCCCTCGCTGGCGCCTAGAGGACGTTGTCCGACACGGCGTCCAGGATTCCAAGGTCCCCCTCCGCTAATATGGTGGCCCTAATCAAATTTTTGTTTCTGGTGTTTGACCACATGTTTTTTAATCCACCTATGTGCTCAGGAGTTTCCTGAGTGGCGTTTATGCAATTACTAGATCCGTCCTGTAAAGGAAGACGACGTTGCACGACGTTTAATGTCCTTGATTCTCTTCGGTGGCTAGCCACATGGCTGCCGCATTTACACACACTCTTATATAAGAGTTTTTGAAACGGGTTGACGGAGTTGAAGGCGTGTTGAGGTATGGGCCATATTTGGAATGGGTATCACGAGGAAGACTCAGCAACCGCCTTGCAGGTTAAGATTGCAGAGTATGGCATATAGAATAATTAGACGACGTATATAAGAAAGAAGTAGTATAGCTCTACTTCGACTAATCAAACAAAATTATGATCAGATATATTCGCTTGTGCATTATCCCTGGCATCAACGGTCATGACAACTAGTTCTGTAGCTGTGGGTTCCCGATCTCTTGGCTATAATTTTACTTGCTCGAGAGACACGTACACGATGATAATTCCGAGTCCATATCCATGGCTGTATACGCGGGAATGTTCGGTGCTCGGCCTCAAACAAACAATGTTTCCCCAGAATGCCTGTCATAGTCCTGTCTTTCGATTGAACCATGAACGTTTACATCCAGGTCTTGATAAACTTCCCTGCATACCTCATTTCCATGGTGCTTAAGTCTATTGATGTTTGAAGGAGAGACAAACTGAGGTTAATTGAGTGGACTAGGAGTTCGATACATTCCAGCAAGCGGCTTCCCAGGGATCAGGATGTTTTAAACCCGTTGGCTGAGACTTTTCCGAACGCGTGTTGCGAGCCAACATTGACTCTTGTTTATGGACATTAATGAACTTGCCCGTTTATTTATTGAAGAAACAACAACCATCCAATGGCCGGTTGAGAGATACGTCGGAGGGTTGAATAGTGGAATGGTTGGGCGGGCTACAGCAGCGGCACCTATAATAATAGTGCGCGAGGGCCTGGCCGGGGCGCCGGCAGGGGGATGCTGTCAGTGGAGCGGGACGGGAGCCAAGGCGAGTTCTCAGTGGAGGATCAGTTATTCAAAGTCCCTCCCAGGCCGCCCAGCAAGGCCCAGCATGGCCCACTATGAAAACGGCCAAGAGTCGAGCTAGGTACGGAGTACTTCCAAAAAAAGGACTGAAGCCTTGTCATCTCATGTACTCGGTACCTAGAAACAGAGGTGCTGGTTTCCGCAGGTCGTTGGTACTGTGAGTGGAGGCTATCCCAACTTGGGTAGCACCTCCTCTTTCCACACCCAAGCGCTTCCACGAGCAAGACCAAAGCAAGACAGGCTTGACCAAGACCAAGACACAACACAACCCCGTCATCATCACCACCACAGCCGCTCTCTTCTCCTCTGGCTACCTCCCACCAGACTTTTCCTTTTGTTCGCATCGACGGCCTCGAATCTGGGTCTACTTATTCTCTTGTGATCCTCGTTTTTCCTACTTCTACCTTGCCTTGCTTCAGCCATCATCGAAAAGTTGCCTGTCAAAGCATAAGAGACGAAATAATCTGGTCATTTTATGCGAATTTCGGCCGGCTCTTGGGTTAATTATTTCTGGACCCTTAAGCCAATTCTTCTGCTTGCTACCCAGTAGCTCAGCCATTCGATTCATTCTCTCGCATCCTGCAGATTGCGCCCATTTTCTCGACTCCTCTTAATGACCTTCCGATCACGACTTGAATGAAAGTACGAAGCATTCGACTGACCGACCGGCAAATTCCAAACCTCGTTCCTCGTCCTCTTCAGCCGACTGTGCCCGATCCAGCGCATCTGTCTGCTCTTTGCGGCATCACCACCACCACCGTCGCCCGAATTAGTTTTTCGTCTTACCTACCTCCTCAGCTGTTGGCGCCAACTCCCTCATAACCGTCAGGATGATGAGCTTTGATGGTGGCACAGCCTACGCCGAGTCCGATGCCGACGACGAATACGAGCGAAGCATGGGCTCTCCCATCACCAACTCTGAGCATTCTCCCATAGACTCTGAGCTCTCTACGTCCGCGGAGCATACTCCTACTACCTACGGCCACCGCAGCAGCGCCGACCGTCTCCCAGAAACCATCATCTCTGAATGGACAGTCGAGGAATGTGCTGATTTTATTGGCACCATCGGTCTCCAACAGTATGCCGATCGTTTTATAGGTACGTCTCTAGTCTGGGCATGGCCACCTCCCCCTCTTCGTATAACATGCCGGCCACTTTGAGAGAGTGATAACTGACATTTGAACCGTTACAGAAAACGAGATTGTCGGCGAGGCTCTTGTTGCGCTACAGCATGATGATCTTAAAAGCATGGGCATCGCCAGTGTGGGACATCGTCTTACGATCCTCAAAAGCGTCTATGATGTCAAAAAGGCTCAAGATGTGCCCATTGAGAGCGACCATTACCTGCCCCTATGTACGTTGTTTCCGGTTTCCCCTCCTTGGTGGACTGGCGTGATTCTAATTTGTGACCCCTGCAGCTGCCGACGCTGAAGCGCAATATGCTACTGCAACTATCAAGGACATCAAACATTTGGTCGAACAGTTTCGCCTCCGCGACGAACGCATGAGTCTACTCGAACAGGATCTGCGACGAATGACGGACGACTTCAGACGATTGCGAGAAGATATGTTGCCAGCCTTGCGCCTTGTCAAGGATGCGCAGCAACCATTGCCCAACCTGTCCGGAAACCAGCAAGCGTATGGATACGAAACTACCATATCGCCCCCCGCACCAACACCACCCCCGGGCTCGAGTCAATCTGGAGGCTCAGTCAAGCGACAATACTCAACTCGCAAGATCCTAATTGGAGCTACACCTAAGAACGCATCGCCCACGCAATCCACGCACGAGAGGTCAATAGCCGAGACCGCACTAGATCCTTCCAGCGCAGCAGAACGGGCCGTCCTATCGTCTTCTCATCTTGCAGCGATGAACGGAGGGGGCCAAGGCGCATCATCTCCTTCGTATCCCTCACCCAACATTCCCTCTCCAACGTCCCCCCAGACCCACATGCCCGCTACCACCCTCGCCTCTCGATCCTACCGCAGCGAAGCACCGACGCCCTCCACACGAACCACCTTCAACGACGACGGTCACGCCAATGCAGCTTATACTTCCCGCGAAAAGGCACCGCAAGGACCGCCCCGCAGACGAGAAACCCCTGTACCTGATACACCCAGCCAGAGCAATGCTTCAGTCGAAATCTTCAAATCGTTCCGTGTTAGTATGGAGGACCCTTGCTACAAGGTTCTACCTGCTGCACTCAAAAAGTACCAGATCAACGCCCCTTGGGACCAGTATGCCCTCTACATTGTGTATGGAGACCAAGAGCGTTGCTTGGGTCTAGAGGAGAAGCCATTGATTCTGTTTAAGCAGCTGGATAAAGAAGGCAAGAAACCCATGTTCATGCTTCGAAAAACGACGACCGCACCATTAGACGGGGAGCCGGGCAGCGCGGGGCTAGGCAGTACCTCGAGAGGAGCGCCGACAGGTTACGATCCTCCGGGAGGCATCATCTAAGCTATTCTTGGAGTCGCTGGCTTTGGTGGATCAGTCTTGCAGTCCAAGCAACAGGCTTTGAACGGCGCCTACCGAAACCTGAATACTATCGAGAGGCGAGCATGAGATGCATGCTGTACGTCAGACTTGCAGGGTCGGCACAACCCACCGATACATGGCCTCATTACGCCGGGGCAAGACCCAGATGCGTTTCTTGGAAGTCGTGCAAGTGGGAGCAGGCAAGATTCAGTAGGCAGGTTGGGTTGCCTGCATGACGTTTGGTGATGTTTGTTTCAGTGGGTCGGCGTTTCTGAGCTGAGGTGGTGAACCTGAAACACCAACCATGAGCTATTACGGGGCAGAACGCTAAATGCTGCACTGGCCTACTGCGTATGTCTCGAGCTGAACCATATCATTGGTATGGTTCGGTCACTAAAGAGGAGGCTTGTTTGAAGACAAGGGTTTTTAGAGAGTTGCCGGGTTGGGCAACTGAAGCTCCCTCGAGTCGTGGAGCTTGGAGCGATTCGGCTTATGGACAGTTTCCATCAAAGCTATTTGCTTTTGTCAGAAGAACTTTCACCGAGGTAGAGGAGAGCAGCGATCAAGCCACGGCTTTCATGTGCAGCATTTTTCATCTTTCATGGGGACATTGCGGGTTATGGCGTTTGAAAAGTCGACCAGGTGTTATTCTACAACAAACGGCGGGAATGTCCATCGTCGTTCTATTTTTGGGCTTGCATCTTAATTTCAGCGCAGCAAAGCAAAGCACAGTACAGTACAGAACATGGAGGAAGGGTTGATAATTCAGAAGCGGGTTGGATCGGATCAGGTGTATGTATTATGGCTAGGATGGCCGGGATTTGTACAAGTCGGATCTTGTGGACGTTGCCCTACGGGAGGTATGTTGGGAATTGGACATGATATTGGCGCTTGTGAAAAATACTCATGTGTAGTACTACGTAGATACATAAATCTTTTAAAGTTAAGATTTAAGATAGTCGCTTTCAAGTACCTTGCTTTGATATCCTCTTATTATTGAATAGTAAATACAGCTCCGGCTTGCTTCCATCACAGTCGTTCCTCATAATGTTCTATGCAGTATATCCTCTTGACTTCACCTAACATACCATTGCCAACTCTTCCCGAAAGCCTCTCCTTTACTCATCGCGAACTCTTCAAGAAACGCCGCCACCGCCTCCAAAGGCACACCCCTTCTCATAGCCGTTTTATCATCCCAGCTCGAATGCACACCTACCAAGTTCCCCGTCGCTCGGTCAAATAAGCCTGCACCACTGTGCCCCCAGTACGTCCAGCAGTCGTGCTTGAGAGCTCCGATTTTGCTATTGTCATGAGGGTCCTGATCCTCGGCCATTCCACGGAATGCACCTTCGCTGAGCTCCAATGTGCCATACCCGGTCTTTTTCTTCTTCCTTGACTCAAGGTCCTCTGAGCCAGGATGACCTATGCACAGGAGTTTGGAGTTGAACTTGGGAGGGGATGATGCAATGCGGGCATAAGGAAAAGGCCTTTGGGGTGACTGGGCTTTGTCGATGATCAGGAGAGCCAGATCTCGAATTGGGTCCCATGAGATTATTTGAGCCATGACAATATTTCCGCTTGCGGATATAAGAACGCGGAAAGGGACCTTTGCGAGCTCCCCTGCGTTCTCAGCAACGCAATGGGCACAGGTAAGAAGAATGCCATCAGGTGAAATGCAGACTGCAGTGCCAGCCTCGGCCTGTGCAAAAACATAAGTGGCATCCACGGGGTTGAGGTATGTCGCAGGATCAAGAGAGAAAGAGCGAAGAACATCTTTGGGAAGAGGGACGGTATGAGTAGTGAGCCAGTCATGCTTAGTGACCAAGGCGTCGCGGTCTTCAGGAGGAAGAGGGATTCGCCATCTTGAGTAGTCTGATGGAAGAGGAGTGATTGGGGGCTTCTTGGAGTCAGAGTCTGGACTTTGGTCTCTTCGAAGTGAAGCAGATGATGTAAGTGCTTGACGGGTTGAACTGCGAGTTTGACGGGTTGTGACGTTGGGTGAAGCACCCGCAGGATCAATTGTTGAAGACATGACTGTTTCTGACAGTATAGCTTAAGAGGGCAAAGATTTGTATGAAGATGAAGAATTGTGACTGAGAATAATGAATTAACTGAAGCATTGAGTTGCCCTTTTATATCGACTCGTCGGTGTAAGTCGATATGGTCAAGGTGGATTGGCTGCCTAACACTAGCAGGCAGAAAGCAGGGGTCTATGGTATAAGGAGCAAGATAGCTCTTCGATACAACATCATGCCCCAAATTGGGAAATGGGAAGGATGGAATAGGATCAGGCTAAATGATCGCCTAATTAAAGTTCATCCATGCTGAACACGGGTTATTGCAATACCTGTAGCACGTGTCGTGAATGTGACGGACAAGAATTAAGCCAACAACCGCCCTAGTCCAATCTACTACAAAGCAATTTAGCAATTCTGTCTCTTATCCTTCTAGAGTCAACTTCCCTTGCCCCAGGAGATAGCTCGTATGACTTTCAGGCAACCATTGTGTGACCTTCATCTTCAAAGAATATGTAGGTGTCTAGCTTCTTTGCTCGAAACACCTTGATGTTCCAGCAATGGCTATTGCCGTTTCTGTGTCTTCTTCATCGGTATAACCGTCTGCGGTGCCGCAAGCGCAAGGAAAGAATCACGTTAGGAACCGTATAAGTGGAAGTTTCTCGAGTTATCTTTTGGAAGGTGTCACATAAAGGAGCGACGGCCATGTTGGGTTATTTCTGGGTTCCAAGATGGTAAGTGAGCTGGCTACTTATGTATAATAGTAGTTTCTGGTCTACTACTTACCTCAAATGAACCAGTTCACTTGGATCTCCTTGGTGGCATACAGATATACAACATCATATGCTGTCTGAACACAGTCACTAATCTAGCTGTTTCGTACTCATGTCCGATCCAGCCAGATATCTTGATGGGAAAGGGTGGCATCAGACTTGTCCCGACCTGTAAAGTCTGGCAGAAGTAGTTCTGAGGAGTCTTTTGGCCTTGGGTTTGACATGAACACCCGCCTTCATGTCTCTCACACCCAGGATCAAGCTACCCCATTCTTGATGCTCTGCTGTTTCGACCTTGTGTTCAAACCATATGTGAGTCGAAGTGGTGAGCGTACTGTTTAAGTAACTATGCACCACACTGCCTGTGAGCTGTCTTGGCTTCACACTAAAAGTTCATGTATTCATTCGGAAATCTGGACACTTGTAAGTACCTGGCATGTCATTTGTCCTGAGCTCAATATATAAGCGATGCTCTGCCCAGACTCCGCCTCGTATAGTGGCCGAGTCAATGATAGCCAGCGTTTCTTTCTGGATGCAGCAAAGATTTCTAGTACAACCCACCTTACGGTATATCAACTTAGAGTCTCTTCCGACGTGTACAATGAGATCGCGAATTGGACTACAGCGAGAAAGGATACAAAATCTTGCCAGGTCCAACGACCATAAAATCGACGGTCTCCATTGTTAAGACCTGATGGTCTGTAACGCAACTTCAAATTGAGCACGAGAATGATCAAAGACAGCAATATGGTTCCTCTGTGGGACACGGGATACGGTCTCATCCTTGATTATAAGGTATCATGAGCTGGGTGAGTCAGTTCATGCTACCCCTGACTGGACGCACACTACATTTTACAGCACCAAGTGCTAAGCATTCACACGATCATACCAATATATATGTTCTTAGGATCGAATAAGAGGTCCTGAAATTGATTTGACCAAGCGTTTACACGATATAGTTCAACATAAATCTTACAACTACCTATCGTAGTGCTGTCGGGCCAAAGGACGTCCAGTATCGACCTCAGCACGACAATTCCATTGGGAGCAAGAGATTGAAGGCAACAGCGAAGGCAGCAGATGGAGGAGAATTGTGCCAGTAGAGGACAATTAATTGTGCCGGCTCTCACTACCTACCCGCCTATTAGGTCAGGACTCCAGTAGGCACCTACCTTACCAGTAGGTTTTCATATTCTTGGAAGGCAGGCACCTACCTACCTAATAATTAGACCTTCCCTCTTCACGGCATTCTTCTCTTTCATTGCTCCTTCTCTCATAAACGACCTTGGTCTTGGACGATATATGTTTCTGCTATGGCAAGTTCTTCTAGCTCAACCATCAACCATCACGCAACAACATCTTCACGTATTGTATTGTCACACGAATATCGCTGCCGCAGCTTTATCATCGCCGCGGCGCTTTTAACATCTCTCACGAAGCTCAGCTGATACATCCCATCATGGCCAGCACACTGTTATTCGCCTGCATCCTCGGGCCCTTAGGTTGCTTGTTCATCGTCTGGAGCCTGCTGTATCTGCGCGTCAAAGCAAAGCCACCGAAGGAGAACCAGTCAACCTCGATATCATTCTTTTATTGGTTCAGAGTACTCTTTTATGTTCTGGAATTGGTAAGCAAGTTCTTTAATCCCGTGAAAGAAACATTACTAACGATGTTGTCCACCAGTTCGCCTAGATAGCCGAACTCGTGATACTCTGCATGGAAGAGAAGGCAGAACAACCACCTCACTCAGGCAAAATCAGCCCAGAAGAGTGCAACAGATGGTGGGACCCGGCCGGATATTTGCAAAAGGAAATGTCCAACTTGTGGCTGGCAAGTCTGATAACTTACACTTGGTTCTACCTCTTTCTCAAGGCGAATGTATTGTTGCCAGTCTCTCCCGCCACCAAGCGCCCGAACAGTTGGGGTTGGTGGTGGCTTTCACCCATCGCGCTCATCGAGTTGTCAACTGCCCTTGTAACCTCATTTTATCTCGACCGGGCAAACAAGGGTATCAAGAAATGCTGGTGGAAGGATGATGAATGTAAGCGATGCCTACAAGTATCATACATACAAAGACTGACGATCTTCAGGTTTACGCACTCAACGCCTTAGCCATACACGGGACACCTTCGCCACTGCAATGAACGACGTCCTTACGTATCTGTACTTTGGCGCAACGTCTATTATGTCTGTGCCGGAGGTACCCAAAAGGCAAATGTTGGTGATCATTCTCTTCGGTTTAAGTGGTGTGGTCGCAGCGGTGCTCGCGGGTTATCGAGCATAGGAGGTGTCACAGCCCAGCAAGAATGGGCCGTTCAAGGTCGATCACCCACGCATCTTGATGATGGCAGAAATGTTTTCTGTTATTGCTGCGTCGACCATTTTCACTATCACGAGCCTGTGAGTTGAATCTAACAGCATCTTGTGATTGATAGCTAACCTTGACTAGTTGGCTCGAAGGACGCAGGAGGAAGGAGGAACTAGAAGAGGGCATGAGGAGAGCGGAAGAGGAGAAGAGGAAGAGAGAAGAGGAAGAAGCGGCAAAGGCAAAGCAGAAGCCCCCGGAAGTGCATGAAGATAGCGCTCAGTTTTGTAATCTCTGGAGTAAGAGACATGGCTAGATGATAGTGGTAACCATAGCGATCAGAGAAGAATTGTTGCTTTTTTTTTTTCTTACTCTCTGCTACCTCTTTGCTGCCTCTATGTAAGTCTGTCTGACCACTTAGTACTCTGTCGTCTCGTCAGGGTGTCAGAAGATGATCCGGAACATAAGAGACGAAATGATTTGGTCACCTTATGGTGCCTAGTAGCTTAGATGTGTACTTAGGTTACTTTGTTTGGTATTCTAAATCTTAGAGGATAGTTCTTCTGCTACCCATGTCTGTGTATGGTATTCTAATGGTGTTGTTGTTACAGGACCTGCTTAACCGAGTCATTCTCATTCTCTCTATCAAACGGAAGTCTCCCCGACGCCGCCTCAACCTTATCAGCACCCCGCAGTTTCCGGGTTCGGGGCGGGGGAACATCCACATTGCGGGTCTAACCAATGGGGTCATGACGTGTATAGCCTCTAGACCGATCAAGGCATTAGAATTTAGCCTTTGTCAAGGATCAACGATTAATTGAAGTGAATCTGAAAGTGAAGCTGAAGTTGAGACTAATTGCTTTTGTTTTTCAGATCGAGAGATGCCTCAGTTCTCTTCTGCTAGCATCCGCTTATACACAAACGACATTCACAGTTTGATGCAAACACTGGAAACGATAGTACTGATATGCATTTCTTGGCGTCGAGCCTATCCTATCGGGTGGATTAGAAACTGTATATCCGTGACATTGAAGCTTGGGCCGTTGGGGGATTCGTAAACGTCTTGGCGTCTCTCTCGACATGACATTGATCTGGACCGTTCGTTAGTTAAAGAGATTAGCTTAAAGAGGGAGGTGTTATAAGGGAGAGACAGAGGGAGAGATGCTGTAGCTGAAAGTTGCGGAGAGATGCGGGCAAGTCAGATAGGATCTTCCCTGCTCCCTGCCTTCCTTGATGCTTATTAGCTTTGGAGAAAGGGAAGATCCTTGTCGATTCTGTCTGAGGGTTTTACAAGATTCCTTCCTCTCATGCGCTGCGCTACCTTCTCCAACCCCCAACCCCCAGTTTGTCTCCATCCTCAATCACCTTTTTCTTCAACCTCCGGACTTTTTTTTTCTCTTCAAGAATCTTGGCTTTGTTTTATGTTGATTTCTCCGTCAAGTCCGACACCGGTCTCTACACTTGCATTTCTTCACTGACGATATAATTCGCAAGACGGGCCGTATTTCCATCGTCACTCGGCAACTGCCTCATCTTGACGGGCCAAGAAGGCACAATACTTTTAGAGGGTAGAAGGAATTATCTTCCGAGCTTGAGGCGCCAAAAACAAATAGCCTTTATGCTGATGTAAAGCGGCATAAAGCGACTAGATTATTTTATCATCTCGGCGGTCAAATCTGATACCCCCGGTGGTGCGCATCTTGTCGATCATTTAGCCCGACATATCCCACCTCCGTTACTTCCGCTCCGGTCCATCTTTCGGACTTTGTCTCGAGTTTCACAACTTACTTTTGTTACTTCGATCGCTACAATTTAAGCTTAATCACTCAGTTTCCGCCCCCTCGCCTCTCACATTCGTTTGGCAGCCATCTTCTATCTGCCGCACCGGTTTCGCACAATGCCTATACCACCCTCATGGCATCTTATTTCACGCGGCGAGCACGCCTCGTCGCCAGAAAGTGATCAATCCTCAACAGCCGGCACCACCGGAAACGTCGTTCCCTCGAATGCGTTCGCAGATGATTTGTTTCGCGAGAAGTTTATGGGCATCGCTAAGGGAGGCTCTAATGGAGAGAAAATCATGCGCGGCTTTCTGATCGGCCTGGCCATCGGCTTGGTGGTTGCGTGCTTCTTCTGCTGTTGGTATCCATGCTGCCGACCACGCCTACAAAATCGACGCCGAAGACGACGACCGCGCAGAGGACCTCCCGCCACAGACGAAGAACAGAATCCTACACAAGAAACTACACAAAACAATACACAAAATACGACAAATAATGCGCCTCCCGCATAACGCAATGGCGTGAACCGGACAGTCGTGTTGAAGGAGTACGGACTTGCACGCCCGCGCGATAAATTGAGGGATAACTGGTGCATCATTTGCTTCGCGACATATTTTCGGATCGAGCCCGACAGAGGAGGGCTTTAAGAGCGTTATGATACGGGAATACACGATGACGAGCGCATTGGACTATGCTTGAGGATTAGACTGGCATTGGGCTCTACACAAATAAGTGGGCGCAAACACACAGCAATCATTGTGTCGTTGAGCTCCCCGTGGACTTGCGTTACCAGCAAAAGGGAGGTACCGAATGCGAAAAGAGCCATCCAAATTTGGTCGCATTTGCAATCGAGCGAGGATGTCGACGAACAAGGTCTTTTCGAGCATGGACTATGATATGAGATTCACGAGAAGGCGTTATGAAAGGGACAGCACTGCATTGGCATTGGATTACAAGGCGTTATAGGGATCATGTACACATTTTTGGTTGGGGTTACAAAGTCTCACAAAAGCGAGACACACTTTACGCATCTGTGGCTTTTGCATCGGTGTGTCGCTGGTAGAGACAGAGATAAATGACGATGGGTTTTGGTTCTCTAGAACAGTCAAGACAGATTTCTACTTCTGAGGTATATAGATACGCAATAACAGGAGCATTCTCCAAGCTGAACACTGAGCCTAGATCTACATGGTACGCCCTTGTTATTTTGTCTCTTGTGCCCTTGATGACCAATATTCCCAATACCCTGAAGCAGGGCAGATCAGTCCGTTCACTAGCACGGGTACCTGATGGAAACATGCACTGAAGGTGACGCAGTTGCGAGGCTCAAACAGGTTGTTTGTCATTGGACGCGCGTTGACAAGGAAGTTGAAGATGCTTAATATCTTGAACGCCACTCATTGGCAGAGTCGCCATTGGAAGACGATCATTTGAGGCTTCTCATCGGACTATCACAATCCGATAACTCGACATGACAAGGAAAAGGACGAGAATAGCAACTGCACAGCCTCTCTAAATTAGTAGAGAAGTCGGGTGTGGCGTTTGGCCACGTTCGGTACGTAACGGAAATAAGGATCAAGTGAATCAGATAGAGGAATGTTCTTAGAAGGTCTCTCTATTCTTCTCTATATTTATCTGTTCTCTTCTCAACTCTTTTCAAGATCTTGGTATTCCTTTGTCAGCCAAGTTTGTCTTGACCTTGTGACCATCCTAAATCAGTCACAAGCTGCATTGGATCGCATTCGAGCTGAGGACTTCCCTGCTTCAAAAACTGCCCCGCCTTCCAAGTCTCAGCCTGCCGCGCAATTGTTTGGGCTGCAAGGCTTTTTCTTTCAACAACCTATTCGAGTATTAGTACGACTTGTTTTCTACTCTCGTTACTTTGCCGGCTTCTCGTTTCATTCGCGACATACCGTTTCGTTCTCAAACTCGCGTTGCGCGCGTGTTACAACTGGATAGATCACTACGTCATTCTGCGAATTAACTCTGCGACACCAAACAAACAACATCGAATTGCGATTCAAGTTGTAGACGAGGAACGAACTAGACAAGATGCTGGACGAAAACCTCCCGACCTACCGATCCAAAGCCTCTTCAGAAAACCCGCTCAATAGTATTCTTTACTTTACACATAATGGATCAGACCCGAGCCCCGAATACCTCGTGAAGCGACCGTCTCCTTCCGACGCCAATGGCCAGTATGCGCTTGGCATTTTCGACTCGCAGAACAACTCTGTGATATACGCCGAGGTAGGCGTCAAGCCTGAATGGGTATCGCCCACTCTATCTGCTGCAGAAATCCGCGCGCAAAACGGCAACCCGCCGCCCAAAACTCCTATCATACCAGACAGCTTTGCGGTTTCGCTGTACAATCCCGATCAGGACATCGCCGTCAAACAACACCAGGGCAGTTGGGGAAAGACGGATACTTGGGAATTTGAACTGCCAGAAAGGTCCTTCAAATTGCCCAGTTCTAGCCAGATCGATCAGGAAGACCGGCCATCTCTCGCCGAGTTGGTTCCCAAGGTGGTGTTTCGCTGGAAACGAGATGGGCGCTTGAGCAAGGATATGACATGTTATATGACTGGCAGGAACGTAGGCGGCAAGAAGAGCAAGGAGCCTGATATCACCGTGGCCTTCTTCCGGGCGAAGCACGACTCGACCTTGACCATATACGAGCCCAACATGGCTCGAGTTGAGATCGAGGACCGAAGAGGTCTTGAAATTGCTCTTCTCATGAGTGCCGAAACCATTAAGGATCTTTACCTGAGCCCGAGCCAAGACCCTTTCCACATCCTTGCCTCGAATGGCCGACGCCGCCAAAACTCTCGACCAGCAGCAAACTCCTCCAACGGTCCAGCAATGGCGGGAGCCTTGGATAACAACCGACCATCGTCGCCCCCTCGCGCTCAAGCCGCGGCGCAACAGTCAAATAATAACGCCCAGCGTCAGGCTGAAATTGATGCTGAAACAAAACGCTTGCAGGCCATGGTAGCAGAGGAAGAGCGGAAAAGACTGGAACGTGAGCAGGCAGAGGAGGAAGAGCGCAAGAGGATTCAGCAGATGTTGGAGACCGAGGAGCAGGAAAGTCGCAAACGAGAAGCCGAGGTTGAACAGGAGACGGAGCGATTACGTCGGGAATTTGGTATGGCTGGTCAGGATTTCCAGAACCAACCAAGCACAAGCACAAACAATGGTCACCCATCACCACCATTGCCCCCTCGACCTAATTTTGCTTCAGGCGCATTGCCTGCGAGACCCAGCAGCAGCGGACCAGCGCCCAATGGTCAACAAAATCCAAGCTTTGCGCCGCCACCTGCACAAGCTCAACCCGGTCCTAGTGAGGGTGGAAAGAAACGTCATGGTCTAGGCGGTCTATTGCAAGGAGCCGCACCTTACGCAGGACCTGCAGCGGCGAGCGTCAGTGGTTTCTTCAGCAGTCGCAAGGACGAGGAGAAGCGGAAGAAGGTACAAAAGAAGCGCAGTGTACATTTCTAAGTAGAGGCACGGCGAGCTCTTGGGTTTTTTTTGTTGGCTATATGGTGTTATGTGTACTACAAGAAGGATATACCATAGACTTTTGGAACGTTAATTAGGTATGAATGAAATGACTTTGTTTTAGACTGATGCTTTCTAGTAGAAATAAATGGTTGAAAGACAATCTCGGTTTGAGTTGCCATAAAGTCATAAATCGTGTCCGTTACACCTGACAAAGAACCCACCCCGTCGCTCGGTCATAACTGTTTAACATCAGGCGGTGTGCAGTGAAACGAAAGGCTTATGTCGTCCTGTGCAACATGGGATGAACGATCGGCTGGAACGTAACTTGTGTTTGTGGAAAGTGTCTGACGCTGAGACGAGATCGGACGAAGGGCGAAAGATCTGCATTTGGTATCGTCTGAACTGAACAGAATTGACTTTTGAGACGACGTTATGTCGTCTTCTGCGCTCTTGTCAAGTAGATTCGCGGACACGGCAATCGCTCATCGAGTTTCTCCCCAATGTCTTTGTTCTCGCTGTCAACTGGACTTGCTGGGGGTGATTTCATGCTGCGCAGTGGAATAGATATGATATTTGGAGGTTTGTACGGTGTGAACGAGCGGACGTAGGCGAGGTCACCTGAAAACATTTTGACCTGATAATTTGTCTAAAGGACAGAGTTGGAGATGTGAGGAAAGTGAATTCATGGCTTGCAGGAGGGGGGAAATAGTGTGATGGTGAGATGAATGGCTTATTGACAACTGTTCTGGGTTATCTATCAGACACTTGGGCCATCAACATCTCAATAGTGAAATCTATGAAAGAGAAATTGCCTATTGGCTTTCAGGTATTAACTTGAATAGCTAGTTGGTCAGAACGTGTCTCTCACTACTCTGTAAACTGTTTCCAGATGTATATCGTATCGTAGGATGGCATGAGAGCTGAAGTCAATTGATTGAAGAAGCAAGGAAAGTCTGCAGGATCACTGATATTGAATGACAAAGTCAATGATTATATACGGTATCAGGTATAAATACCGAGATCAAACCTGCTTGCTTTTGTTCTTTATAACTGGATGGTTCGTTATATCATCCCAGGTGGTTTAATGACTCCACAAGCGTTAATATGGGCTTAGATGCGAATCGCTGTAATTGTGGTTCTAAGCTATCGATGATTGAAGGAAGAACCGCGCGCGTTGGTAGATGCTTGTTTTACAATCAGGGTTGAATTCCAATCAGAAGATCCCCTGTCGATCATCATCCCCGAAAGAATCCATTGAATCCTACGGCAACACCAAAATGGATGTTTATTAGGGAGAAGAAATGTTTCACCGGATTCTGAAGCAGCAACTTGGACCATTTCAGTCCAAGCGCGCTTTCCCATCTGGGTTCACGTCACTCTCTGTTTGGAACATGGCGAAACAGCCTAACCTCTTATCGACGACGCATGGTTGTTCAACGCATCAATGCTTGTTGTAGAACGTGGGTTCGCTCTTATGAAGGTTGAGGTAACCAGGATAGTTCCACAATGCGAGAAAACGGCAGGAACGAAGGATCATTTATAAATAGAATGCCATAACGCGCTGTCCATATTATACTTGGTTTCCTTTTTGGTCTGGAGAAGCGTCGACTTTACACCATCAAGGCAACCTCTCAAGATGCGTTTCTCTTTTATCTCGGCGGCTGTCTTGGGCCTTATCAGCTCAGTCAATGCTTGGGGTGGTCTTACTCCCGATAGCCCAAGATTCCGAACATTGGAGCGTCACGGTCTCACGGTCTTCAAGCATGCTGCCACCAACACCAAGCTGGAATATGTCAGTAACTCTGGAATCTGCGAGACTACGCCTGGAGTTGATCAGCACTCCGGGTACTTGAATGTCGGTATGTAAACTCAGCCCTATATCGTCGAGATCATATCCTAATGACTACGTACAGGAAAGAACCATAGCATGTGGTTCTGGTTCTTCGAAGCCCGCAATAAACCAGAGGATGCGCCTCTTGCCATCTGGCTCAACGGTGGTCCTGGATGTTCTTCCATGGTCGGTCTCTTCACTGAACATGGACCATGCCATTTCGTCGGTAACGATACTGAGCCAACCCTGAACCCTCACTCATGGAACGAGTACGCAAACATGCTCTATATCGACCAGCCCATCGGTTCTGGCTTCAGCACTGGCACCGAAGACGTCAACTCGACAGCCCAGGCAGCTCCTTACATCTGGAAGTTCATGCAAGTCTTCTTGGATAAGTTCCCCAAGTACAAGACACGAGAGTTCGGCCTCTTCACTCAATCATATGGTGGACACTACGGTCCTGAGTTCGCCGACTACTTCCTCAAGCAAAATGACAAGATCGAGAAGGGTGATGTCGATGGCCACAAAATCGATATGGTTGCGCTGGGCATCAACAACGGCTGGATCGAACCCAAGAGACAATTCAAGTCCTATGCCACATACGCAAACCGAAACCCTTACAAGAAGATCCTCACAGATAAGAAGATGAGGACTGCTCTCGACTCATACTACAAGTACTGCCTACCTCTCATGGAGAAATGTACCGAACTCGAAGGACAAGACGAAGAGTGTGCCAAGGCCGATGAGGCTTGCAACACTCAAATGTTCACCAACCTCGTTATCGCCAGCGGTACCGACTTCAACGTTTACGATGTACGCATCGGACAAAGCGACGTTGACCCGCCAGACAATTTTCTTGAATACCTCACAAGAGCCGAGGTCATGGATGCGATTGGTGCCAACACCCCGTTTACCGAGTGTAGTGACACAGTTTACGCAAACATGGCGAAAACGGGAGATGGTGAGTACCCCTGGGAATGACAACGGGATTAATACTGACATGAGTACAGGTTCGCGTTCTTACGTGGGGCCTTTGGCTGATGTTGTGAAGCGTGGTATCAACACTCTCATCTGGGCTGGTGATACTGATTGGATTTGCAACTGGGAGGGTGTCCTCTGGGCGTCTTATGCGCTCGAGTGGCCTGGCCAGAAGGAATTCGTAGCAGCGAATTTCAGCAACTACAACGTCGATGGAAAGCCTCACGGTCGATACAAGACGGTTGACAATCTATCCTTCTTGAAGGTTTGGGGAGCTGGTCATTCAGTGCCATACTATCGTAAGTGCCCGGCTGCCACCACGCCATATTGCTTTAACTAACAGAACAACAGAGCCGGAGACAGCACTTCAGGTGTTCAAGCAGGTCATGCAGAAGAAGGCCATCAAGTCAACCTAATGAATTATGTTTGTCAAGGCGTTCGGGTAGACAGGACCATAGAGCCTGCTGGGTCAATAATTCTTACAATACATCTTTCAATTCTCATATTCATGCTGCGTGCAACCAGACTGCCCGTTGATTGTATCGAATAGAAAAATCCTCCGTCTTCTCGTAGATTCCTGTTCAGATGCAAGCAAGGTATAAAAGCAAAACGTACGCCGATGTCGTACAAATAGTAACAAATGTTCAAGATAGTTTCCAAACTCCCCTGGCCATGCGGTTCCTTTGTACTCCGTTTTGATTACTGTGCCTGGACCTTTTCAAGACGTAGGTCGTTGATGGTCATGTAGCGGCTGAGAGTGATCCAGCCATAGCGGAACCAGACCATCTGGCTCCTGTGCGCCTGGGTCATGGCACTCCAGGCGGTGCCGTATGCGCCTCGACCAACAAGTTGGTTCATGAATACCAGACCTTCAGGGCGCTCCTTATCCTGGTTGTTGAACCCAAGGGACGACAGTAGCGTAGGGATGAAATCCATGAAAGCCGAGTACTTGCGCACGATACCCACAGAGGTGAGGGTATATAGATCGACGGGGCTTGGCCACTCCGACTCGGTCGTGGTAAGAGCCTGGATGAAGGATCGAGCACCGAGGTACAGGGAGATATGGTTAGGGTGGGAAGATACGCCGTTGCTGTCAAAGGTGACAAGGATGTCAATGTTGGCCGTAGGCTTGATGTTGTTCTTGCGCTCGTGACCAAATTTGGGCGCAAAGGTGCTTCCTAGTAGACGAGCGATCAGGTTCTTGTCCCACATTCTCGTCATGGAGTCGGGGAAGTCAGTGCTGTAAGTAAGATATTCCGTCAGTTTCTTGAATGGCAATAATCAGTTGTAAGACAGTCGACATACAGGTTGTCCACGACGAAGACATCATCCTCGCTTTGCAGTCCCAGCGCCAAACCGCTCTTGACCAGCTCTTGCTTGCGAACGTCTCCAAGCCCGTCGGCATCTCCTATAACACGCCAAAATCACCATCAGCCAAAACTGCTTTCAACCAATTTTGTATAGTCGCATCATCTTCATGATGCGATTGCAAAGCACGGGTCGTTGCAGTCGGCTCATACCAGTGCTCAAGCATAGAATCTTGACGTGGTTTCCGTTCTCGGGCTTTGTGAGGGCGAGGACGGTCGGCGAGAAGAACATGGCTTCGTCATCGGGGTGTGCGATCAAGAGACAGATGCGCTTGTTCTTGATGGCCGACTGGGCTTGGGTCGCTGTAAACATGTACAGACCCGGCACCACGACGGCGAGACCTGCGAAAATGTGAAGAACGTTCATATCGACGGCGGTTTCGGAGACAATATTGCGATGCGGTTTCTGTTGCGACGGGCGGTATGGGTAATTCGGCTGGGGTAGCGCAATGTCTATAATAGCTGTAAGTAGAGCTGGAAAGCCGCGCTGCGATCAATTGCACTGTTATAAGAGGGAATTCAACCCCTCTGGGAAGCTGGACTGTGACCCGGTTCGTAAACAAGATGTGTGATGGCTGAGACAAAATGTGGCACGAGACGCGGCAACAACAAGTGAAACTTGGATATGGAGGGGCAGGAGCTCACGAGGGCGCAAATGCCAATCGCTAAGGCAACCCCCCATGAGACCTCCAGTAAAGAGCCGTACCTTCTGTAAAGTTGACCAACAGTTCACCGCCCCAGAAGCTCCTAGAGCTGAAGAAGCCCCGCCTTTGCAGCTCTTAAGCCATACAGAAATCACCTGCAGAGCGGCAGGGCCCGACGCTTCGGCTTCCATCTGTATGGAACGCGCTAAACCTCTTCAAGTAACCTGTTGACGTTGTCTTTCAGGAACAGCTCAGCTCAGCTCAGCTAAATTGACTTCCAGCTTCAACCACGACAATCATCCACTCGATCTCTACCCAATCATGGCGCGTCAACGCAAAGAAAAGTCCGTCAAGGATATCAAGCTTGAGCAGCCCGATCGATCTGGTCCAAACAAGGAGACTCTCGTCGATCTCGCAAAGGGCAAAGACCTCTTTGCTGAAGCTGATCGTCGACAGCGCGAGCTCGATGGCGAAGGTCCCCTCTTGTCACCTCGGACAGAACGTATCTTCGAGACATTGCTATGGACTGGCGTTATTGCTACGCTTCACTTGACATTCGATGTACTTGTGCAGCAGCAGTATGCTATGAACATTGATTGGGTTTTAGTCGTCCAGCGAACTCTCACGGCCTGGCTCTGTAAGTTCTCAACAACCTTTGTTGCGAGTATCACTAACACGGTGGTGACTACAGTATTCATCGGTCTCTTCTACGTCCTCCACCCGCATTATTCGCAAAAAAAGTTCATTCCCCTCATCCCCCAAGAATACCAGGAGCCTGTTCGCCAAGCCATCTTCTTCGTCGCGAGCACTCTAGGTGGCTGCTATCTCATCCACATCAGTAACAGCTACGGATATGTAGCAGTCATGAAGCAAGCACCTCCTATAGGCTGTTTGTGGGTATGGTCTGTGGTCGAAATGGATATCCTTTGGGCCTTTCCAAGTCTCTGTATTGCGGTCGCATACGCCTACAAGAACGGATACGGGTTCAGATAAAACGTGTCATTGTTTGGTTGATCTCCTGGATAGAGTCGCATTCTCGGACCCTGCTGATGTGGTGAACCCATCATCTTCGACTACCTTGGTCGGTTCTGAACTCCCAATCTTAAGACCTGCCAACGTCTCGGCCCGCGAAAGACCAGAGTGGTCACGCCGCGTCCATCGTCTCACAAGATCTTCCAGCCGCTGAATCCGATCTCTCTGGTTTTCTACCAGAGACTCAAGCTTGCGCGAACTTTCATCCATCTTCATTTCCCGCCACTTCGTCCTCGATTCCAGATCCCGCAGTCGAGAGGAGATCATACTCATCTGCATGAACTGCACCCTCGCCGTCAAACCCTCGCGCTGCCGTACTAATTCCAGAGCTTTGGTTCGTACCCGCAACCAAGCCATTGCTACCGTTGTACGACCGCTCCAACTCCGTGGCATGAGTGTCCAGCTTTCGCCGTTGTCGCTCATGCTCGCCTTGGCCTCCGTCTCAGCAACAATGTCGAGTAGGCGCTGTTCAAGGTTCAGCAGGTCATCCATGACAAATGTATACATCTGGTATTCAGGCTGATGCGTATGGAAACCTTCATGCTGGGCATTGATAGCTGTTACAAGATCTGCCAGCCATGTGGATTCTGTCTTATACCACGACAAAGACGTCTTAACGCGGAAGAACTCATCATCACTATTCCGTAGATAGGTGAGACGGGCGTAAAACGCTGCGGCAATGGCAACGACAAAGGTCAAGATGCCCGCGATATTGGAGGTTATTGAGAGCGGCGAGTCACTCTGGCCATCACTATCCATTGAATCTCGATATGGAAAGTGGGGGTTCTGGGGGTAGATGTTGAATCTCTTGGCAACAATTTATACAGAAGATAGTTGTAGAATGCGCATCTTTAGTACTAGCAGATGGCGTAAATTAATACAAAGTAAACACTAGTTAATAAGTCAAAACTGAACGAATCTCATACCCCTGAAGGACAGCCGCACACGTGACTTCTCACATGCCGCTGCTTCTAAGTCTTCCTCTAGCATTTGTTCGAAGTAGAACCCGACCAACAACATGAGGCCGTGATAGTTTGGCCGACCCCATCGTATAAGACATAGACTGAAGACGCTGAGCATTCTGTATAACGTATATGTTGAAATCTCAATCTATTTCATTCATATTATGACTTGACTTTTGTATGCCGTACGCTACATAATGCACCATGCCCATTATCTTTTCCCGTATAATCAATACTCATACTGGATTATTATCATCATATATGCAAATACCCGCTCCAAAATGTACACAGTCATGCACTATTTCCCTGTTCTTCCTCTACCAGGTCTTGTCGACTCGGCAAACGTAATGCCTCGACGGTTGGGTGGCACTCTCTCAGTCCCCTCATCATCGCTATCGTCATCGTTACCAACACCCAACGCAGCTTCTCTGCGTCGCCTCTCGGCTGGTGTCTCGCCAGTATCCTTGCTTTCCTCCTCTTCTTGGTTCGATAGCACTGCTAGGCGGCGCTTACGCTCGACGGCCGTCTCGCCCTGTTCTTCGGAAGGCTTGGCCGGGCTTGCTGTAGTAGCAGCCACAGACGCAGATGGTCGGGTCGGCTCCTTTTGCTTTGGGGGAGCGTGATGCTCAGCAGCCTTGGCGGCCTTGACAGCTGTCTCAGGAGGGAGATCCTGTTTGGCGACCTTCTTGATGGCTTGGGAAGCGTCTGATTGCTCTACCACCTCCTTTCTTGTTCGTGAATCCAACTTTTGCACTTCCCGGATGAAGTCCTCCTTGGTCATGCGTTGACCAACACCACCAATCGTGAAGCGAATAGCCTTGTCGTCAGCAGCTTGAGTCTCCGTAACGGACATTTTCCTAGTCTGCTCGTTTCCGTTATGGCCTCCGAATACACCTCCCAAGTTGGACCAGGCACGTTTAGGAGCTGGCGGCGCATCAGATGTGTTAGCGCCAGCTTGGGAGCTTTCGCCCTTGGTCGTAGGTAACTCATAGGTCTTGACAACTTCACCATCCGCATCTTCAACAATAATCTGTGAGTTGTTAGAATTGAATATTCAGCAAAGATTTCTGGGGCTTGACTTACCGTGTTTCCAAACTGATAGGCTCTGGCTGGCTCGTGTCGTCGATCCTGGCCCTTTTCTTTACGTTTCTCCATTTCGAAATTGTAGACGTCACCCACTCTCTTCTTGAAGCCGGCCATGGTCCAAAGCTTATCATGGCCTGGTTTGACGGCTTTAATAGGAACGTGGTTCTCGTCTTCCTTATGGGAGTCGGGTGCGGGCTCGACATCAAGTACGTCTCCTTGCTGGTTCTCGAATACCATTTCATGGCCCTCTTCGTAGATGTTCACAGGCTTAGGTGGTGTCTTCTGGCCACTGCTACCAGCAGGGCTCTCCCCTGCCTGTTCAATTCTGTCAGAGTTCTTTTCCTTGGAGCTGTCGTCGGCGGCCAGAGTCGATTCAGTGTTATCTTGCGAAGGAGAATCGTCTTGTTCGTATGGTTCAGTAGGAGACATGAGAGTCGAAGATTGGCGTTGGGGAAAGATGGCAGACTGAGCAATGGGACCGCCGGGACCGTCGTCATCCCAGTTCTTGTTCTTACGTCTCCGTGAGACGACGGATGGCGAGCGACTTCCATTTTGATCTTTCTGTCTGCGCAACAAATGGCTGTAGGGACCGTTGGCTGGGATGGTAGCATCGGGAGGGAACTGAGGGCCCTTTTCTTCGTCGATAGACGCCTCTGACATGGACCTCGCCTGAGACCTAGACTGGGATGAGATTCGAGGCAACCGGTTCATCCAAGTTGGGCCGTCTTCAGGAGCAGCTGTGTAGGACATTGTCAAACTCAGGGTGTTAATACGTTTTCCAAGGGTGAAGACAGCGATGGAAGATCCATGAACCAGGATTGAAGTAACGACCATAAAGCACACTATAGGCCATACAAGATAAATGAGCTCATAGTGTTCAGTATTCTCGGGTGGCAGTTGTGCCAAAGGGACTGGCTCCTCATGTTCAAGCTCGGCTCGGGCCAAGATGGCAACAAAGATGGCGCCTACACCAATTGGGCCGAAATGACCAGCGAACAAGGCTTCACGCCATGTTTTGACGTCCGGTATAAGTGGTTTCAGAGCCAACATGATAGGAATTCGGCGGAACAAAAGCACAAAGATGGCAATAACCACCAGGCGCCAAGCGACCAGACCAAAAACGCCGTTGTTGAATTGCTCCCATGGGATAATCGTTCCAAAGTAGACGAAATAAGTCAAGTTAAGCAAAAGATCGATAACGTTGGAAACGTGCGATTCTTCAGTCTTCTCGCCGAACCATCCGTCGTTTGAGAAGCCAACTCCTGCAGCGAAACCGACCAGCAAGTCGTCCATACCCAGGATACTACCTGAGCCGGCGCACCAGAGCGCAACAACGAAGTAGAAGACCAGGAAACTCTCTCGGTCAATGAGATCGCGCCTCTCAGCGAGCTTGATACCGTGGCGGGCGATGTAGCCAATAGCAAATCCGTAGATAGCACCAAAGATACACTCGTACAGGATGACGTAAACAACAAAGTGGAAGCTCACATCTTGGGCATCTCGCTTGAATTGGATTAGGTAAAGAGACAAGTAGACGAAAGGGAACGCCATGCCATCGTTACAGCCAGATTCAGCAGATAACAAATCTCGAAGATGCTTGGGAACACGCTTGGCGAACTTTCCCTTACCAACAACTGATGAAGCCAAAACGGGATCAGTAGCAGTAACACAAGCAGCTACAACGAGACTGTCGAGCCAGTCCAGTGGTGGGATCATCCAGAAGATAAACAGACTGGTGATGAGCCAACCAAACGTCATGACTGGGATCAGAAGAAAGACGACGGACTTCCAATGGCGCTCCATATAGAATTTGGGCAATTCGACACCGACGGCGAAACATTGTACAACAAGAACGATTCGGGAGAATTCGACGGTGACAATATCAGTAGAACCCCAGGAGTTCGGGTCGATGAGGTTGGCGGCATGAGGACCAAAGATAACTCCGCAAAGGGTAGCAACAGTAGCTTCACCAATGTACATGCGCTCCTTGATAAAAGACGAGCAAAGCATGAACAAGGAAGTGAAACCGCCAAGAATGATGTACACCAAGTGCGGCTTGGTAATATCAAGGTGTTGCCAAGCCATTTTTGATAACTGGTATACCTAAGTATACAAAAGATATTCGGTTTGTTTGTCGTTATCTAGACTCGATCGGTGGTGTCGCGATCTCGGAGGCGATCACAACAACGTTATCGCGAAGGGCGAAAATCGGCGGCGGCGCCGCGGTCAATTATCGTTTACACTCGTCTGGAAGAGAAGCGCTGCATCGACGAGATCGAATCGGTCGAGATAAAAGAGCGACAAAGGAGGACAAGACAAGAGACCTTAGGAGTGTATGTGATGGTCTAGTCCAATCCAATGGTAGTTGGAAGAGGAAAGAAAAAGAAAAAAGAATTTCTCAACAAGACAAGAAAGAGCGAACCGTTTAGACTAATCCCCGTCAACCGACCTACTGGGCGATCGCAGGCGCAGGTCGAAAATGGCACAGGGCCGGGAGAGTGTCGTCACAGGGCAACACCGCCTATAAAACCGGGATGATACGCCACAACGAGCCTCGAAGTTCTTGGCAAGGCGATACCCCGAAAAGACAGATGTAGAGTTTGTTTAGACAGTTGAGAGAGGAATGACGAAACATGAAAGAGGGATGACAATTTTTTTAAGGTTTTTTTTTAACCTCATCGGCTGGAGATTTGTGTCTCCGGAGACAACTCTAGATCAAGCCAAGTCCAAGTCGAAGAGATCGTCATTGTTCACCTCTGGACCTCTCAGCACACGATCAAGGTGAAGAGCAGGGGCCCCAGTCTTTGAATTGACGCTAACAGCCTCGAGTGGGGGGCATTGAGCACCGCTGCTTTTATCCAGATTATCAAGAACACCCAAGCCGGAGAAACCGGCAGAGCACATATCATATCAAGATGAGCCAATATCTCTATTATTATTCTCTGTGAACTCTGTACTATACAGATATCTAACGGATTGCAATAGAGTTCAAAGGATCTTGAGTAACTGGCCACGATAACGGTCCGGTCAGTTCTCTCCCCAATAAACTGTGTCTTACTTTTCAGCTAATCACATATTACATGCGTCTCCCTTGTTCAACGCCCAGACTTTATTCCCAGTGCCTAGAAACCAATAGCACCAGGTCCCACTTGACGCCTCAAAATCTTTACGCTTGTCTTATATCAAAAATGGGCAGGGACAATATTACAACCTAAGCCCAACGACACCTGATCAATATTCTGAAAAGCAAACAGAAGGCGACGAGGGATGAATATTCTGCTATCTCTCCGTTTCCAGTGAGTTATAGAACATTCTGTAAAAGCAGCACGACAAGACCCTGGTCGACCCAACTGGTGGGGACACTGTTCTTCTCATCTTCGATACGAATCGACATTTTCTTGTCCGTCTGCGAGTAAACAAGAAAATGCGGGCGAACCCTCCTCGAGTATCACCTGAAGATCCTCCAGCCAATACCACTTTTCCTTGGCATCGTAGCATTTCCTCCATGACGAGTTTGCAGCGCTAACCTCGGTTTCTTCGAGTCATTTTTCACTCTGAGTTCTGTGATCCGCAATGCGATCAACATTTCCGGTACACAGAGGCTCATCACTTGTTGGTAGCCCCCCACGAGAAGAGCCATAGAAAACAGTTTTCCAGCAACCATCATATCTGTGCTGGGTTCTCCCTGCGCCCTTGTCCCTTTTGAGTCTTTCGTCTTTCGCACATGGCGGTGATGCATACAGTAATAATGGCGGCCCAGTTTAACGGCCCCAACGGCTATAAACTTACGCAGACAAGCTTAAATGCACTGGCTAGGCCTGTTCGTTCCTGCGAGGTCAATGTTATGCTTATTCTTTTTCATGCAAAAAGCGGGAGCTATCAGTGGTCAGTCCAGCTTCCAGGTTTGATGGCGGTTTAAGCTTACCCAGGTTGGGCCCTGAAATCCCTCACGATGACAGGCCTGTATTCGAGTAGTATTCCTCGTTGAGTTTATCCACAGGCTTAAAATTCACTCAATTCAACTATTTACTTGGTTGGACTGACGTCAGTGAGGATATTTGAACAAGACACTATTCTCATCATAGAAATGCTCCGATCTCTTCTACGCTTAGTTCTGGGTCATTCTGTCGGTCAAGGCAGCATTAAGAATAAAATATCTTACCGCGGAGAGCGGTCTGTGAAATATTATGACTAGACAACGAAAGCGTTATGTCTTTTGTCCTGTGACTATCGTTTCGACGTCAATTGAGGTTGCAACCCCCAGGTCTTGGATATCTCTTGGAGATCTGATAGACCCTGGATTTTTGGTGCAGCCAAGATGCCCAGAGATGCACCCCAGGCTCGCCAAGTACCAAGAACTCTCACATCGACGCGCCAAGACGTAAAACCGCACCAGGTGGTGTAAATGGCCAAATACATGATTTGGTGATAGCTTCATCATTTGAAGTATCGTAAAATTGTGTTCCGCATTCTGTGGGTGAGATTTCAAGATGTGTTCGACAGCTGAAGCACTGAGAGCCGCGACATGAGGCTATTCGGGCTCACTGACGACCTCAATCACTTGATCTAGGTATACAAAGATGCTTTACTGATGCACATCAAACATTCATCCTTGACTTCACTAAATTCGAATATGCTCAGAAATAATGTCTAGATTTGACGGGTATTGATTTAAATCTGGTCGAGTCCGTTGCTCATTGTGAGATGCTCACTGCTGGCGCTGTCTATCTTGTGATGCCCCTAGCATTCTACCTTTTCCGCTCAACTAAAATACAGTAATCCTACACCTTAAATATCCTAGTCTCGAATTGGTATCGAAGAAGCTTTCTAGTTGATGACCATGTACATAAGTGCGGACACCGCGAAAGATGCACACATAAAGTTGAAGCTGGGAGCATGGACAGCTCCGCCGGCCGTTGTAGGCGTAGGAGTAGGCTCCTCATCAGCTGGCTCGGCGGTCTGGCTAGGCGCAGCAGACCTCGTCATTGAGGTGAGCATCTGGGTGGGAGCTTGAGGGATGGGAAGAGAGCCTGTGGGCTGTTCTGTGTCGATGACGAGACCAGTGCTCTTGGTAGCGAGGTCTTCATCAACGGCAGACAAGGGCTCACCCAAGCTGACCTTTGAGCTGCTCTCGTGGGTGGAAACGCTGGTCTCGAGAAGAACGTTCTTCTGGATCTTGGTAGCAGACTCAGAGTGTGATGTTGTGGTGGCTGGAGGCTGAGTCTCAGGCTCGGACACAGGTTGAGGTTCAGATTGAGGCTGGGATTGGGTCTCTTGTTGGGACTGAGGCTCATCGACATCTCGGCAGAGGACAGCAACGAGGTTGCCCTTTTGACCACGGCTGAGAAGAGATTCCGAGTCGGTAGAGACGTCGCCACATGAGGCTTGGATGAAACCCTGGGCTCGTTGCACTGAGTCCTTGCAAGCAGCACTGCAAGCCTTGCCACCGGTGAAGTCGTTGGGAGTGCAACTCTCAAGAGGGGTGTCGTATGCTGCAACACAGCTTGATGGGAATGACTTGTCGCTGATGGACTCAAAGTCAGCCAGCTTGAGAGATCCTGCTGAAGCGGTACCAGCCATGAGAAGGAAGGACAGCTGAAGCCATCGTCGTGTAGATTGTCCAGTCATTGTGAATGTTGTTTGTGTTTATCAACGGTTAAAAAGAATAGTATCTTCAGAAAGTGTTTTTTCGATAGTGATCGAAAGGTGCTGCTCAAGCTCAATTATAAGACGGACTGGTTGACTGATGTCTTGGCTCAAGCTCGAAGCATTGATATGGATCTTCCGATCAATAAAACAGGAACCCGGTTGAAACGCGCTAAGATGCTCACAACCAGGCTGAAGGAACCAACAAGCTGACAGGATTCGGTTTCGAACTATAAAAGTGAAGTTGGTTGTCGGTTTTGCTGTTTATGCGTACGCGTTTTAGTGAAACAATCCTTGGGCAGATCGTTTCAAGCTGAAGATGGAAATGTCGAAGGATTATTAAATAGATTGGATGTGGCTATGCGATGCCCTGTCGAGTATTGATTGATTGGATGAATAAATTCTTCTGTAAACAGGAGAAGGAATTTGATCGGCGTTTCGTTCCCAGAGTGTTATGGGAAATGAGAGTGTAAAGCAGATAGATGATCGATAGCGTCGAGTGATTGTCTCGAGGCACGCCAAGATGATTAATAGAATGCAAGGAATGCAAAAAGGCGATGGATGCAATAGATAAAAGAAATATGAGACTTGATAAAAAAGAGAGTCCAAGTATCGAGTATGTAAAGGCGAGGGAGCACAGCTTTCCTCTACCAGACAAGGTCGATGTCAGCTTCACAACCGAAATGAGTGATGATGAGATCTTGTTCGCTTCACCAAAATAGAAAAGATGAAAGACAAGTAAATGAAAAAGGTGGATGAGGATGAGGATGCACAAAATCTTTTAAGAAAGCGATGAAGAGGAATAATTATGGGAATGGGGATGGGAATATGGGGAAGACCAAGAGCCTAGCTTGGAAGAAGGAAGGAAAGAACGGGATGGGAACGGATGATCAGGGGTGCTAAGAACCAGAAGGAGCATTATTGTACTGAAAAGGGATATCTAATGCACATCACTAGCTTCACGCGAGGGTAGTTTTGGGGTTGAAACCTCGAGAGGGCGCATCACAATTCGGAAGGGCCAAGACTATGGTGATCCATTGGGTGGGTTCCCATAAAGATCATCAGGGGTTAGACAGCATGACTTTTTTCCACTCTTGGCTTTGACGTCACGCAATACTAGTATAGACAGAGACCCTTCTATGTGATACAATACTGATGGAGTCTTATTCCTGTTGGTTGTGTTTGCTCATGAAACAGACACAGCACAGAGCACAACATGGCCTTGTACTCTGCCAACAATAAATGTTTGCTCTGTTCCTCGTATTCCTCTTCCGTCCGGGTGGCATTAAACCTCAAAAGTCAGAGAAGAAAAAGAAGGGTTCACAGACACGCACACACGTCAGACTACCTAACGTTTCAGACCGTTTGTTTCGGGTTTCATTCTACCACACGCATTGACTTTCCAACAAATCAGAGCCTCTAGATGGGATACACCAAGTGCACCGAATACAGTGCTAACGTCTGTGTGGTGACTTCGAGTCAGAAATACAGAGAGTCTAAAGATTCTAGAATTTGTCTATTTTATCTCGTTGTTCAACAATAATTTTGTGCCTCTTTATCCTCAACTCTTCCGTGCGTGTAAGACAGGATTCTTTGCTATGACTCTGTCATTAAAAGACCCTTGTCCTGATCCCTGTCTTGTCAGTCTTGCAGTAAAATTTGTCCCCAGAAATACCCATCTTTTGGCGGATCGAAAAGTGGAAATGCCGTTTGCCAAAAGAACCAAGACGGACTGAAAGGCCTAACTCCACAGCCAATGGAAGGGTGTCAGAAAGAAGCAGCCAGAACACCGTCACAAAATATGACAGAGTGACTATTTGTTTTCTACCATCTTTACTCGCTTCTCAAAGGCCTCAAATTTTCCCGCAGGTGAAAGTCACGGAAGAAATGTGGCTTTACAAACTTCCGACCGGACGCCAAGCTAGAAAATGTCCTGGGCGAACCAGAACTGATACAATGCACATAACAAAGACTCTTATGCACCTGATGATTCGAGGCTTCAAGCCATCAGTTTTCAACCGTTTGTTTTCTTCCGGAGGCTTTCGTGTTATTGTTTCGGAAGGCATTCGGTACTCGCGATGATCAACATCAACGATCATCTCCTGTCTAGCCTCTTTGCACATAGATCGTCAGGACTATTTCGCCAAGAGCACGACCCTCTTGTTTGAGGTCGCTCAACTGAGTAATCCATTTGACCCATCAGGCAATGCTACTCTGCTAGTCTCCCTTGTCACTTCGCTACCTCGGTAAGTCAAGGGGAAATTCATCTCGACAAGGAGACGCCTGTCAGAAAAGATAGAAAGTCATCTGACGCAATATGACCCTTTCTTTATAGTATCCGTATGTATCGTCATAAGGAGATCGGAGGCTTTACGATTTCCACTGGTTTAGCTCAGCTAAGCCACTTCGACACGACTTCTAGGGGTCTTTGGCTATCCGATAATACAGTACGAATGTTGCCGGTTACGAGGTGACACCAGCCTTGACATCAACGCCAAACCAATAACTACACAGATATCTATCCATCATTGACTCGGAAGTCTTTCGACCCGGCACCGCTGGGCACCACTCTATTAGCATAAGATGATAACGTCGCTCTCGTTCATGCCCGGATCTCAACGGCGTCTCCAGGCTTCGCTTACACTCAACACCAACTACTCGGGACGATACAACGCCAGCTCGGCGGGGGTTTCAACTCCCGATGTTACGGTTCAACGTCATTGACGCGTTATATCGCAGGGTTCTCCTTACCTTCGACTATCGCGCTGAGAAATGTTCAGTTAAGATCATCTTGTCTAATTATCACTTTGGCCTCCTGTTATCTCCTCGTCAACTTTATTGACTGGCGATCCGTCAGCTTGGGATTGAGCTGAGGTCTCATTTCAAAACCGAAGATCATTACTTTAGTCGTGATCATAGGCCTCAATTATTGGTCTTTGCGCGCTGGCTTCATCATTTGAAGGGAGGCTAAGGAGCCACTCGGGCTGCCTCAGTGCCGATCTTTTTCTGTTATTTGCCTGGTCGACGTCTTTGTTCGGCATCTGGTGATGATGGTGTTCCATTCGTCCAAGCTATGTAAACAATCCAAATCAATGGTCGAGGCTATCAGGTAGGTCAATGCTGTTACTCAATGCATTGTTGTCACATGTAGCGATAGTATGAACGAGACTCATCGTAGCGAGGGAAGATTACTGGAGTCCTAACCACGGAGCTGGTCACCCGGAACACATACCAGATGCTGTATTCTGTGAACCGACTTTCATGTCGAAGCATTGCTAGAACTAAAGAGACGGCTCACAACTCCAAACACTCATTGAAGGGCGATATTTGGTAGTCGTCAGCAGAGTCAAGACGGATAGACGTGTAACCCTCTGTGCTGCCAAACATCTAAAACCAGCAAATGAGTATACTGATCGGCGCGCTCAGCTACAGTACCGGCCGGTTGCAGTTGACATTGTTTCCGATAGCAGAACGTAGAAATTAGTTGTTGATTTCCATGCTTAACGCCTCTGGCTGAGAGATGTCGGTTAATTACCGTCATTTATTGGTAGTGTGCTCAACCACCACGAGTCAATGCTATGACATGATTAATGCGGAAACCCCGGCAAGCACGTAAGTCAATGGCAAAATTTTGTCAGATACACAGCCTAAAACCTTTCAACTACAAATACCGTTTCTCTTGTCAAATTTCTCACGACGTCGCTTTGATGTGAAAGACAATGGAGATTTGCCCTGCTATCCTTTTTTTCGAGACGGCCTCTACCCTGGACAAGACTCAGTCTTGGAAACTTGAAGTAGCTTCTACTCACAGTCGCCTATATAAGCCCAAATTCGAAAGCCTTCTTACAAGAATCGGATCGATAGCTCAGTGGTAGAGCGAGGGATTGCAGATCCCTAGGCCGCGTGTTCGAACCACGCTCGGTCCTAACTTTTGCCATTACCGACCTTGGCGTCGTGTCCTTTTTTCTGCTCCAGCGCCACATAACATTCAAGACATATATGTATGAACAATACTACTACTTTCAACAACAACCGTTATAAGGATCGATAGCTCAGCGGTAGAGCGTGGGATTGCAGATCCTAAGGTCACGTGTTCGATCCACGTTCGGTCCTTATCTTTTGATCTTTTGCTGTATTCCAGTATCATTACTTTTTGGTCTAGGGGTCATTCGGCCTCGGATATCCGCGATTTATGCTTTGGCATATATTTTTGCTGAGTTTTTACGAGGACTTCTGTGGCGATGTTGCGATGTCTCACCCAAAGCCCCGTAGGCAATGTCTAACTCTAACCCTACAGCACCTTGCTTTTTCCACACATGCAGTCATGTGCAAGTACAGTACATATCACCGTGGACAGCGGTCTATCATCCTTATACACTTGTAGCCTATACCAGAAACTGTGCCATGTTTCAATTGACCTTCCAAGCATCGCGAATCTATCATAAAAAGCACCATTGTTCTTCATTCTCCGTCAGATCAACAACTAAGCTATAAAGGAATCTGATTATAGTGACGGAACTTCCTAAACTTTCAAATACAGCCTACTACAAAATATTGACAATATCGGTTGCCACCTCAGATGTGTTGACACCAAAATGATTCGGAGTAGTCTGCGATAGATATCAGCTCAATCTATAGTATCCATGGGCCCGGGAACTCGTACCTGAAGGTAAAGAATACCATCCTCAGCAATAACCTCGCTATAAGTTCTCTTGATCTGATCCACAACACGGATGTGAACCGCATTCTTGGGCCTTATTTCAAGAAGACCCTCTTGAAGCATGGCATCCTCACCGAACTTATAATGCTCAAGCTGCGAGACCAAGGCATCAAAGTAAGATAATTGAATGTTTCCAAAATTAGACTGCCAATCAAGGTTGTCACCAGCGTTACCCTTCAGCTTTACGAAATTTGCTTCGAAATTTGGAATAAGGGAAAGTTCCTGCTTGACAATCTTGTTCAGCTTTTCTTGGATTTCTTTGATACGAGGGTCGTAGTCTCTCCTGATAGACGACCTGACGATGAAGCTCATGGGCTTTGGTGAAGGGGCATCATTCAGAGCCTTGGTGAGATTGTTGCTCTCAGCAGCAACGCTCGCGTTGGTTCCGAAACGGTGTTCGTTGAAGACTATCATAAGTTTACCCTCAGGTGAGACTCTGACACCGCAGTAGTCGACAGTATTGGTATCGTCATAGTCAAGAGTTAGTACGTGGGCAGAGCAGATCTCGTTGATTTCGGCCTGAACTTCATCTCCGTGCTGCGTAAGAAAAAGCCAGATTTGATCCGAAGCACTCTCGACATATCTTAGGAGGGTAATGAGAGTTAGTAGATAGAATGTAGGATTTGAGAGATCTCTTGAGACAAGACTTGGGCCAATGTTGAAAGCAGATAAATCAGGAGAACGAACCTGAATATAGCATCGCCGAGAGACTGTTGAGCCCAAGAGTATTCTTCGGCATAAGGATAGAGAGCCCAAGGATCGGCACTTATAGTCCAAGGCTGACCGAGTATATCAGAGAGCCTCTGTTCAAGCTCCCCCTTTTTGTTTTCCCAACCGTCCCAAACTGATAGCATGTATATGTTAGATGTGCTCAAAGACAACCATTATTAGAATACATACTGTTTTTGCGGACAGCAAGGGAAAACTTGACAGCACGTGGACGTCGGGACATGGCGTATGGAATGTCAAGAATATAGAATTAGATAGTCGAACGAGCTTATATTCTATTTGTGAAACTGCTGAGAAGTGATCATGAAGCTCGACGACGTAGTGGAAATCAATTAACTTTTATGCATTTCGGTGCACTCACCTTCAAAGAAACCACAGATCAATCTAGACGTCCACAGCATTGGTGTATCGTAATATTGGACAATATTGTCTTACTTCAATCTATGGCCAATAGCAAGTAGCTGGGACCGATCACACAGCCAGCCACATGTAGCTGAACTAACCTCTTCGAAAGTCACCCCTCAATTAAGAACGGCCTAGATCGAGGACCCTGTGAACAACTTTATGACTGCGGCTGATCTACCGAAACACTCAGGACTGACGTGTTGAGGATGGATTAGTATCGAATGGTGCTTAGAGCTTTACACTGTGATGTCTTGATCTGTTGACTATCGAAGCCTTTCACTCTCATTGGCCCTATGCCACTTTCTTGACTATAGGAGAATATTATTGAAATTGTACGCAGCCACTGCTTCTCAAATTACCTAGATAGTTGAGACGATAAATTAGACTTTAAGTGAACGTCGTTCACAAGTTTAGCACCAAGTCCTTCCCAAGTTCACATCTCGTGACATACAACTTATAATCCCCTGGTGATTGAAACAAAGCTCGACTCTAACACACACAGTTCAGGAATTAACTAAAACTAACTGTGATATAGGAATGTTTACGGATTTGTGTCCACTGCTTCTGCTCTCTTGCACTGTACTTGTTTAACGTGCCAATGGTTCCTAGAGGGTAAATGGCGAGTTCGTGATACTATCAAAGGAATGGTTGGCTCGGTGTTCATAAGAGCCATCTCAGCCCGGAAATGGCTTTTCTTTCCATGGAGTTGACTGTTAAGGATAATAAGACGATAGATACGCAAAAATAAAAATACAAAAAACATACAACACCG